TGAGGAGAGACGACGACCAACCTATGATGCAGATGTCGACTTAAACGGACAAGCCCCTCACACACGCCGACAAGGCCGGCGGATTTGTCACTTCTGCGGCGGCGAAAAGTCCAGGTGCCCCCTGGGGCAGGTCAAAGGTGAAGAGGGAGTTCGTCGGCGTCAGCCGGCCAGTATGGTGCATGCGGGTGGACGGCGCGGTACGGAGGGTTGGCTAGAGAACGCTGAATAAGCACATGGGCATTCAGAGCAAGTTGGCTCGCTTGCGGGAAGAGGTTGAGGCTTTGCGTGCTCCGACCACTACGAAAGAAGGCACTTTCGTTGCAGCTACATCGGCGGCAGCGGAGGGAGATGATGATGATGATGATGATAATGATGATGATGATGATGATGATGATGATGATGATGATGATGATGATGATGATGGTGATGATGATGATGATGATGATGATGATGATGATGATGATGATGATGATGATGACGATGATGACGATGAGGCGCAGAAGTAGCGGCCCGAGGTCCTCGAGGAGCAGCCGCGTGGTCTCAAGCCCATCAAGAGCACGACGGCCTACATATTTGGCTGTACCGAATACACTCAGAAACAGAAGCGCCACTTTGCCAATACGATCAGGTCGAAGGAGCCGTTGGTCACGCGACCGCTCCTGCTGTAGAAGAAGCTCACGTCTAAACAGGAGGCCATCGCGAAGCAAGATTTGGCGGTGGAGAAGGCGACCGAGGTGGTGACCAAATCCGAGAAGTTGGCGGAGGAACACAAGCGTGCAGTGGCGCGGCGAGCTGAAGCTACGGATCTGGAACAGAAGGCGCTGGAGATCAACGACGTGGCCCCCAAGCTTCCCGATGCGAAGGGGGAGGGCGTCAAGGCCGGGCCCGACCTCGACCTCGGGGCCCCGGGTAAGCTGCTGGCGAAGCTGGGTGCCGCGGGTCACGTCGCGGAGAAGATCGCGTCCCACACGGAACTGGCGGAGCGAGTGGTTCGGGGCCTCCCGCCGTCCGCCCTCGGCCTGGCACTGCGCTCGGCGACGAGGTTGGCGCAGGCGGCCGACGGAACTCCGATCGAAGTGCTGCGTGCCAGCTTGGAGGAAGCAGGAGTTGGTGTGCCTGCCGGCGAGAGCCAGGCTGAGGCTGGGCAAGCTGGGGCCGCGCATGCGACCCGCGGCAAGACTGAGGCGAGCGGTCGGCAGCAAGGTGGCGCGCCTGTGGCTGACGGGCTCGTTGCCACCCACTGCGCGTGGCGCGGCAGTTGAAGGCGCGTCGCCCTCGGAGCCGCGTGCACAGCGTTCGATAGCCGCCGGGCTGGGGGGGCGCAAAGGGGCGCGGCAGCAGCATCGCTCTCTACTTGGCAAGCCAGGGGCACCGGCGCTACGACCCGATCTTCGCAGCGACCATCGAGCCGCTGATGCAGTATGCGCGCGTCGTCTGGGAGCGCCAAGTGGGTCCGGGCGAGCTCGAGCGGGCTCGGAGGCCGATGTTGCACGGGGTCGAGGAGGGCGGGGACAAGCTGACCTGGGTGTTCACCCTCTCGCCGAGGCGGATTGGCAGGGCGACGAACTTCTCCGCCCTCACTGCGCCTGGTGAGGGGCTAGTTTTGTTTGCTGCATGCCGTGCCGCCCAGGCTCTTGTTTCCGATCCCTCCTCAGACAGGGGATCCAGCGCTGGTAGGTGAGACGCATTGCAGTCGGCCGCTCTGGGCCCGCGGGTTTCGCGCACGCGTGGGGGGGAGGGCTGCTGCCGCGAATGGGCCGGGGAGGGCGGGTGCTCTGCGGCCCGAGGCCAGGCTGTTCAAGCATGGATTGCGCGATGATCAGAAGTGCCGAGCATGCCCGCGCGAGGCAGAGACGCTCGGACATGCCTTTTTGCAGCGTCGTGCCCTCGCCGAGTGATTCGTGGATGAGGAGGAGGGCTGTGGCCTGGGCCCAAAGCTGGCCGTAGCTCGCGATGATACGTTGGGGCATGGGCCGATTTGGGAGGGCCGCCAGGACGTCGACTCGTCGGCCCTTGCCATTCGGATCCTGAGACGGCCGAAGCGTGATGCGCCGCCTCCGCCTGAGGAGGCGCCCGCATATTGCTTAGTCGATTGGGCGTCGCCGCTGGAGTTCTGGCGTGATGTTTGTTTACTGACGGCTCAGGATATCAGAATGGTGTCCCTGACATGCGGCGATGCGGCTGTTCAGCAGTGATGCGCCCTCGCTGTGTACGGTGGACTCGCAGGCGCTCAGCAGTCGGGTGAACGCGCTGAGAGGATGGCTGGTCTGCAGGTCCCGAGCAACATGGTCTCTATTCGGCTCCTCGTGTTGGATATCCTTGAGTTTGTGCGAGAGGGTGAGGCTTGGCGTGACGGTGCCGTCGAGAAACATGTTGACGCCAGAGCAGCGTACCCTGCGGTCTGGAGACAGCTTGTCGCTCTGGACCGTGGGCCTCCGACGTTTGCTTGGTGCCCTGCCCGCATGACGTTTGATGAGGTTCTCTTCCCCGCTCCTGAGTTTCCTCCCCTTCCCCCATATGCGTGGCACGCGGGAAACAATTGGGCCGATCAGTTCGCACACTTAGGGGCCCTGTCGGCTAGATTTTCTGAGGGGCGCGATCGGTTTTTTAAGGATGCCTTCGCTGGGGCCTTTTCAGTTTGCCAAATACCATGCTTGGGTTGGCCAGCGCAGTTGCAGGTTGGAGCGGCGGGCTGACAAAGCGGAACTCACCCACGCCCCTGCCTCGACTCTGAGGCTTGAGCATTCAAGAAGCTTGTCGGAGGGGCGGGCAGGCTTTGGCGCCCCTCTATAATCTCAGATGTTCAAGCCCAGATGTTTGAGGCTGACGCCGGTTCCCTCGTCGAGGCTCCCCATGGGGCTCGTGCTGCGGGGCCTGGTTGGGGTTCCGCGGGCTCCTCGTTGGGCGAGGTTCCTGCTGCCGCTCGGCTGGGGTCGGCTGCGGCTGGTTGCTCGGCTGGGGCCATTGGGGAGGGGCTTGTGCCCTGCCCTTGGGGGCGACGCTGGGACCCCTTACTCTGTGGGGGAAGTGTTGGGGGCGGTTCCTGTTCGGCCTGTCGGTGGGGGCCCTGGGTCTGCCTGCGAGAGCGGGGTGGGCGCTCTTCTCGGGGGGTGGCCTCTAGCCCGCGTGGGCCTCTCGTGAGGCCGTCGTCGAGGGTTTTGATTCCCGAGGGCCACGACGTTTTCGTCACGGGTGCGGTCGCCTGGTGTCGGCGGTGCGGGGCATGCGGGTCCGTCAGGGTGGGCAGAGCCTTTTTGGCCCCCCTTGCCTGGGCCCTATTGGTTTCCCACCTTCCCGGAGGCGGGTCCTGGCCTAGCTGGAAGCGGGCCGCCATCCCAAGACTCGGCAGCCGATTTCGGCGCCTGGGATCCAGGGGTCGTATAGGTTCCAGGTATGCTCAACAGGAGGGGTCTCCTGCCGCGTTTCTGACGTCCTTGTAGAGCGGCGGAGGAGCGGCGGTGCCACTGGGGTCTTTGGTAGAGTTGTGTACGTGAGCAGACGCAATCGTCTTACTGCATCCTTGGGCTCCCTCTCTCCCTCCTCGCCCTCCATCCGATTTCTTCCTGATCCATAAATTCTCCCTGTCGCACGCGCAAACATGTCAAGAGGGCGGGCCGGGTGTTTCGCCTGAGACATTTTCCACGTTGATGAGCTTAAAGCTGGAACCGCTTCGCTGATAGAGCGCGGATTGTTTGCAACATGTGGTTCTCGCTTTTAGCGCAGCGCACAGTCGCATTAAAACTTTCAGGCGCGTTGGTTCGCGGTGTTGAAGTACCCGGAACGGTGTTCTGGCAGAGGTTAGGATTGTCAGGACGCCGCAGTCACGCTGATTCGCGACGTTGAAGCCCCAGGGATGACGTTTTGGCACGACTGGGGAGTTCCAAACGGTTGTCTTCCAACGGGACGCTTCACACAATGGATTTATGTTCTGGTAGGGACCCATGAACACGGAACTTGGAAGGAGGGTTTGTTGCAACATCGTTGGCGCTTCTTGGATTCACACTGGTCCTCCTCCGCCTGCTCCTCCTCCCCCTCCTTATGAAATCCGCGCGGAGCTCCGAAAGTTTGGATTCGTGCATTTTTGAGGTTAGGATGAAATGCTGGTCCCCAGGAAGGGCCCCAAAGCCGTTGGGAAGCCATCTTGTGAAAAGGTCACGCCGTCAGATGTCTGGGTACACGTTCGAGTCGCCCTTCGCCAGAGTGAACTTTTGCCGCGGGCCCACTGTCCGTCGATCGCCGAACGCGGTCGATAACAGCGGCTTGCGCGCGTGGGTTTGGACCTCTCCGCCGCTCCCCTGAAGCCGTGCACCAAGGATCAGCCTTGCTTGGATTTATACACAGCGTCAACCCGATCCTCATCCCCACTGGGACATGGCATCTCAGCCCCACCAGCCCACCCTCTCAAGTGGAGATAGAGATAGGCCCTAAGCACACGACGGGAGCAGCATACATCGCCACGCAATGGGGGTGAATCGGCCTGTGGGGCCAAGGCCATGCCAGTGGGGAGGGGGATCGGCCCAACGATGCCCAAGGACATTTCCATCGCCCGAGGAACCGATCTTCCTGGACCTCGGGAGGCGGCGGACGCGTGTATGTTCGGGCACCCTGGGGCCCCCACATGTACGGCAGGTCCGTGTCTTGTCGACGTGGGGGCGACCCCAGCACGGGCGAGGTTGATCGTCAGCAGTGGCCCGAAATCGGTCGGCATCCAACGATCTGCGCTATCGGAGAGCCGCGATTGATCAAGGCTGAACGATCAGCACGGTGCCTGAACCCAACCCGCAGGGCGTCACTACACAAACCCGCTGTTCATTCTATATATCATGTGTCTGGCTGGGGTAGCCGGACGTTCCATCATGCTGTCCGTTCCCATTTGTTCCCTCCCAAACAAACATCCAGGGCCAGCACCGGGCCTTGGGAGATCGGACCCTGAGGCGAATCATAGTGTATTAGCTCTTGCCTAGCAGCCGGCACTCCTCGCCGCCCCTCCCTGATGGCAGGGCTGGAGCATGCAGTTCGCGGTCGTAGGAGGGCGTCTTTGCTGTTGATTGGCGCGCCGAACGGGGGAAGAGGGGAGCGTGGGCTGCAGTAGCAGTTGGAGGACGAGCAGCAGCAGCAGCAGCAGCAGCAGCAGCAGCAGTAGCAGGATGATAGGGGATAAGGAGCAGGAGCAGGAGATGGACGAGGAGCTGAAGGATGGGGATGATGATGATGATGATGATGATGAGGAGGAGGAGGAGGAGGAGGAGGAGGAGGAGGAGGAGGAGGAGGAGGAGCAGGAGGAGCAGCAGCAGCAGAAGCACCAGCAACGGAGCATTGGGACCTGGATGTGCAAAGTGAAGGGGGGAGGTGCTCAGGAGAAGGGGAGGAGGAGAACGAGAAAGGGAAGGGTTTTGGAGGAGGGGGATGGGGAGGGGCGGGAAGGGGGGAAGTTCGGTTTGGATAGGGGAGGATTGAGAAGGATAAGGGATAAGGGAATAGGTCAAGGGCAGTGCGCAGATGCGTGTTGACGCTCAGCAGCGCGTCGTTGTTGCCCGCTGTCATGCTGCTTCGATGGGTGTGCTTCGTAGAAGAAGCAGCTGCAGCAGCGCCCCCGCGCAGGCGCGCGCTCGGCCAGGGTCAGCACGCCAACTCTGTGCTTGGCAGCTGCCGGCCGGTCAGGAGGAGCGGCAGGCAGCAGGGCCTGCGGCAGACAAGCAGCGCGCCCTGGCGGACGAGACAAGCGGCTGGCAGTCTTCTCTTTCACCTGGCCCGGCGGCCCAGCTCGGCACCCACCACCTCGCGCCCCCCCCCCTCCCCTGGACTGGAGGCCCAGCGAGGGGGCGGAGGGGGGACAAAATGAGGAGGAGAGGAAGGATGGATGCGGGAGGAGTGGTGAGGAAAACGGAGAAGTGAGGGAGGCGGAGGTAGTGAGGAGGAGGACGGAGAAATCACGAGGAGTGAGAGGAGGAGGAGGAGGAGGAGGAGGAGGAGGAGGAGGAGGAGGAGGAGGAGGAGGAGGAGGAGGAGGAGGAGGAGGAGGAGGAGGAGGAGGAGGAGGAGGAGGAGGAGGAGGAGGAGGAGGAGGAGGAGGAGGAGGGAGGAGGAGGAGGAGGAGGAGGAGGAGGAGGAGTTGGAGGAGGAGGAGAGGAGGAGGAGGAGGAGGAGGAGGAGAAGGAGGAAGAGGAAGATGAAGAGGTGGGAGGCGATAGGAGGAGGAGGAGGAGGAAGAAGAAGAGGACATGAGGGTCAGGAGGAGTGAGCTGGGAGGAAGGATGAACGCTGAAGGGAGGCAGGAGGCCAGGAGGGAGGGGAAGGGGAAGAGGATGGGAGGACCGGGGGCAGGACGGAGGAGTGCATAGTGTGGGGGGGTGACAACGGGGAGAGTGGAGAGCGTACGGCTGTGCCCGTTGATATATGCGGGAGGGGCACCCGCTTGCCATGGACGGGGCTCAAGTGACGGGGGTCAATGCAAACAGGGGTCAATCAGAGCGCCGTATCTTGCAGGATCCTGCAGCGCCAGGGTTGCATTGACCCGGGTTTGGGCGCAGGATCCTGAAGGATATTGCACCCGTGCGCAAGATTCTGCAAGGCCTGACTGACCCGGGTCTGGATTGACCCGGGTCAGAAGATCTCCGACATGGGCCATGTCCATGTGCTCTAGAGACTGGGGCTTCGAACACCTCCATCGAACTCTCCTCCTCCTACTCCTCTTCCTCCCTCCTCATCCTCCTTTCTCCCGTCCTCCTCGCTCCGCCTCGCTGCTCCTCCTCCTAGGCTACCTACGTCTGAGAGCAAGGTCAGCTGCTACAGAAGCGCGCAGAGCTTTCGCCGAAAGGGCTCCGGCCCACGGTTTTCTTTTAGCTGCTTACCCCCGGAATCGATTTGAAGGGGGCCGACTGAATCATGCTGCGATAACTAACGATGTCGAAGAGGGCCGGTTGAATTATGTTTGAGGATGTCCCGAGCGAAACGCTTCTATGTCAGAGGATGTCTCGAGCGGAACGCTTGTTTTGTGTTGTACGTTGTCTTCAAATTGGGATGCATAATTCAGAGGATGTCCCAGGTGAAATTATTGTTTTCACGTCCCCAGGTCTTGAGGTTGTCCCGAGCGAAACGCTTGTATGGCAGAATGTGTTGAGGATTTCTCGAGCGGAACGCCTGTTTTGTGTTGTACATTGTTTTCAAATTGGGAACCACAATTCAGAGGATGTCTCAGGTGAAATCCTTGTTTTTACGTGCCCAGGTCTTGAAGATGTCTCGAGCGAAACGCTTGTTTTGCAGAACTCGAGCGGCCTGGGCGCCCCCGGATGCCCAGGTGGCTCTGGGAGCCCGAACACAGCGTCATTTACTAAGGAACGTGGCCCTGGGAGTGCGGGCGCAGCGTAATTCACGATAGAGCGCAGCCTTGGAAGTGTGGACGCGGCACGGCACATTGCAATTCAGCACGGCGCAGCGCAGCACAGCCATTGGCACGGTACATCAGGATCGATACACTCAGCATTGCAACCTGGCACGGTCCTTGGCACGTTCCGTGGCGCGTCCCGTGGCGAGTCCCCCTGGCACGTCGCGCGGCGCGTCCCCTGGCACATCCCGTGGAACGTCCACACGCTTGTTTCGTAGCGCGTCCCCTTGGCACGTCCCGCGGTGCGTCCCCATGGCACGTCCCCTGGCACGTCCCCTGGCGCGTCCTTTGGGACGTTCTGCGGCGCGTCCCCCTGGCACGTCTCCCTGTCAATTACGTCTCCCTGTCAATTAGCTCTGAGGCAGCTACTATGTGCTCAGGCAGCTCGAGCTTAAGATTCAGAGCAGTCCGGTCAGGACTCGGATGCAAAGGAGGGCTCGCTCCACAACGCTATAGAGCAATCGCGGCATGGCACATCGCAATGCAGCACTGCACAACACAGCACAGCCCTCGGCACGGTACATCAAGATTGATACACTCAGCATTGAATCCTCGCACGTTCCATGGCACGTTCCATGGCGCGTCCCGTGGTGAGTCTCCCTGGCACGTCGCGCGGCGCGTCCCCAGGTACGTCGCGTGGCACGTCCACTGGCACGTCCCCTGGCGCGTCCCCTTGGCACGTCCCGCGGTGCGTCCCCATGGCACGTCCCCTGGCACGTCCCCAGGCGCGTCCCTTGGAACTTTCCGCGGCGCGTCCCCCTGGCACGTCCCCCTGTCAATTAGCTCTGGGGCAGCTACTGTGTGCTCAGGCAGCTCGAGCTTAAGATTCAGATCAGTCCGGTCAGGACTCAGATGCAAAGGAGAACTTGATCCACAACGCTACAGAGCACAATCGCGTCATGGCACATCGCAATGCAGCACTGCACAACACAGCACAGCCCTTGGCATGGTACATCAAGATCGATACACTCAGCGTTGCAATTTGGCACGCTCCTTGGCACGTTCCATGGCGCGTCCCGTGGCGAGTCCCCCCGGCACGTCGCGCGGCGCGTCCCTTGGCACGTCCCGTTGCACGTCCACTGGCACGTTCCGTAGCGCGTCCCCTCGGCACGTCCCGCGGTGCGTCCCCATGGCACGTCCCCTGGCACGACCCCTGGCGCGTCCTTTGGGACGTTCTGCGGCGCGTCCCCCTGGCACGTCCCCCTGTCAATTAGCTCTGGGGCAGCTACTATGTGCCAAGGCAGCTCGAGCTTAAGATTCAGAGTAGTCCGGTCAGGACTCGGATGTAAAGGAGGGCTCGCTCCACAACGCTATAGAGCAATCGCGGCATGGCACATCGCAATGCAGCACTGCACAACACAGCACAGCCCTCGGCACGGTACATCAAGATTGATACACTCAGCATTGCAACCTCGCACGTTCCATGGCACGTTCCGTGGCGCGTCCCGTGGTGAGTCTCCCTGGCACGTCGCGCGGCGCGTCCCCTGGCACGTCGCGTGGCACGTCCACTGGCACGTTCCGTAGCGCGTCCCCTCGGCACGTCCCGCGGTGCGTCCCCATGGCACGTCCCCTGGCACGTCGCCAGGCGCGTCCCTTGGAACTTTCCGCGGCGCGTCTCCCTGGCACGTCCCCCTGTCAATTAGCTCTGGGGCAGCTACTGTGTGCTCAGGCAGCTCGAGCTTAAGATTCAGATCAGTCCGGTCAGGACTCGGATGCAAAGGAGAACTTGATCCACAACGCTACAGAGCACAATCGCGTCATGGCTCATCGCAATGCAGCACTGCACAACACAGCACAGCCCTTGGCATGGTACATCAAGATCGATACATTCAGCGTTGCAATTTGGCACGCTCCTTGGCACGTTCCATGGCGCGTCCCGTGGCGAGTCCCCCCGGCACGTCGCGCGGCGCGTCCCTTGGCACGTCCCGTTGCACGTCCACTGGCTTTTTCCGTAGCGCGTCCCCTTGGCACGTCCCGCGGTGCGTCCCCACGGCACGTCCCCTGGCACGTCCCCTGGCGCGTCCTTTGGGACGTTCTGCGGCGCGTCCCCCTGGCACGTCCCCCTGTCAATTAGCTCTGGGGCAGCTACTGTGTGCTCAGGCAGCTCGAGCTTAAGATTCAGAGTAGTCCGGTCAGGACTCAGATGCAAAGGAGGGCTCGCTCCACAACGCTATAGAGCACAATCGCGGCATGGCACATCGCAATGCAGCACTGCACAACACAGCACAGCCTTTGGCACGGTACATCAAGATTGATACATTCAGTCTTGCATTAGCCCGTCGCCCAACCAGGTGTATTTGAAACGTTGCCATGCCTTACACATATGTGTATATATATATATATATATATATTTGTTTTCCTTTCCGGATTCGTGGGTCGATCATGGTTCGATCGATTGCCGATTCGATTTGGATATCCCTTGCGATGTCTTGTCTTATCTTGTCTTGTCTTGTATTGTCGCGACTTGCCTTGTCTTGGCTTGTCTTGTCTTATGTTGCTTTGGCTTGTGTGCTCGTGTCTTGTCTTGTCTTGCGCGGACGCAGTGTCATTTACGATGCATCGTGGCCCTGGGAGCGCGGACGCAGTGTAATTTGCGAAGGATCCTCGCCCTAGGAGCCCGGGCGCAGCGTACTTTAGTAGGTATCGTGACCCTTGGGGCGCGGCATGGCACATCGGAATTCAGCTCGGCGCAGCACAGCACAGCCTTTGTCAGAGTACATCAAGATCGATACACTCAGCCATGCAACCTGGCGCGTCCCAACGCGAGTCCCCTGGCACGTCGCGCGGCGCGTCCCCTGGCACATCCCGTGGCACGTCCATTTGCACGTTCCGTGGCGCATACGTTTGGCACGTCCCGCGGTGCGTCCTCATGGCACGTTCCCTGACACGATCCCTGGCGTGTCCTTTGGGACGTTCTGCGGCGCCTTCCCCCTGGCACGTCCCCCTGTCAACTAGCTCTGTCGGAGCTACTTTGTGCTCACGCAGCTCGAGCTTAAGAACCAAATCAGTTTGGTCTGGACTCGGCTGCAAACGGGGGATCGATCCACGACGATACAGAGCACAATCGCGGCATGGCACATCGCAATTCAGCACGGCACAGCATGGCACAGCATGGCACAGCCCTTGGCACGGCACGCCAAGATCGATACACTCAGCATTGCAATTGCCCGTCGCCCAATCTGGTGTCTTAAAAACGGTGCCTTCCCCTGCGTTTCTGTATTCCTTTCCAGGTTCGCGGGTCGATCATGTTAGTGTGTGCGTGTGTGACTGGTAAGATTGCGAAGACTTTTCAGTTGAGCCTTCTGGAAAGGCCTGCCCCCCCGAGGCGCAGCGCCGATCAAACTCTGCCCGAAGCCGGGGCCCAGAATTCTCCGAGGGGGCACCCTGGCTGCTTCCGAGCTGCGCCCCAGCGGTGGTGACGAGTACCTCCAGAAACGCTGCAGGACCCCGAAACGAATGCGTCGCCGCTCAGCTTCCAGAGGGATTCCCGCCCCTCTGCCGCATCGGCCAGCCGAGGGCCTCGAAGACCGGGGACGTCATGATGTTCTGTTGGCGCGCCCAGCCGGGCCGGGAGATGCGATACAGTCAACCCATTTGGTAAGGATGCGCGGTAAGGGTGCTAGGGCTGTAAACGCCCTCGACGAGGCTCTTCGAGCGGGGCTGGCCATCGAAAGTGGTTGAGGATGGACTGAAGATGACCGAAGAGGCAAGGATGCAAGGGTATTCTTGGGAAGTCGATCATCCTTACCGTCAGGGTTGACTGTAGGGAGGGGGGGGGCGATCGGCGATCGCTCGACGTCCAAGGCAGGCTCGGGTAGGACGAAAGGGGGGATCGGTAAGGTTCTCAGATGTTTTCGTCAAGTCTCGGCGGTTTTCCAGCCTCCGGATGCTCTCCAGCAGCTGCGCCTCGCCCACGTTCTAGGGGTGCCTGGATCGTCCCGAACATCCGCTGGAGATTCGAGTTATAGCCCGAAGGCCAGGCAACGAGGATCGGGTCGGGCGAAAGGAGGGGATTGGGAAAAGGGGGGGATACGACATTTGTTGCGTGCAGCTGGTTGCGGCCCCGCCGCAGGGCGCTGTCCTCGATGCGTGGCCGTCGCTGCAATGTAGTATCGTTACTGCTGATGTTTTCTTCTGGCTGGTAAGGAATATGTACGCCTGCTCGTCTGTCCAACCCTGCGAGAAGCGTGTGTGAAGAGCGGAGACAGTGCACCTGCAGCCCTTCACGGGCGCAGATTTTCCGCATGTTGCTTGCCTTCTCCCCCACCCTCACTGGCGCAGGGAGGCATCGGCAAAATCACCTACGTGAGCTACTTCCTTACCCCCGCTCTTTGCTACGGTGGGGGCGCTGGTTATGGAATGTGCCCAGGAGACTTCAGACCCTTGAGGATTCCTTATCTGATCAGGGCGGCAGTGATATCCATGGCCAATGTTCGATTAGCTTAGCCGCCCCCATACGCACGTGTTGAAGCGCAACAGGTACCGTGTTCAACACGTCTCTCACGCACGTCTTGGCCAGCGTTTTGGCGAATTCCTTGTAACAGACCTACGTTTTCAATATACCGGATGAGCTTCGTGACAACAAGCTACGGGTTGCGTGTTGCGTATCGGGGTAGCTCAGACGATTGGAGTCCCACGGGCCTCCATACCCTGAACTCTTTTCCAATAGACCCTGTATCCAAGGCCCTCAACGTATCCCCCAGCCCTTTCGTCCGCCCCGAGAGGCGCAGTCATCCCTCTCCTCCACACGCCGCGCCGCGCCGCTGCCTCGCCCTCGAGGATCGAAGGAGTTGGCATCTCCTCGGCGGAAGTCCAGCGGAAGCGGGCAAAAGCACAAGATGCGCCCCAAAGAGATGGCAACGCTTCTGGGTGCAAGGTCTCCGGAATCGGCCAAATGTGCCTGTACGCTTCTTCCGTCTCAAGCGGTTTTGGGCGGCAGGTGCTGCGAAAGCCCTAGGGCCTTTCGGGGGTGCTTCGTCATCTGGGTTTTTAGGCTCGAGAACGGAACCTGTGAGAATTCTTGGGGGGTGTTCTCTGCAGGCTGCGGTAGTTTTGAACGTTCATTTCGTGAATGCCTCCTTTCACCACACAGCAGATCCCGACGATTTTCTGTCATACCCTCAGGGCCTTTTATGAAAGTTCAAAAGCCCAAAAGGAGGAGAAGGAAGAGGAGGAGCAAGAGAGCGCCGCCTTTCCGCAACTCCCCCCCTGCCCTCGCTCTTCCTTCCCTCCTATTCCTTCTCCTCCTTACCCATTCTCCCCCCTTCTGGAAGGGGGAGGGGGGAGGGGAGGAATAGTGAGGGGGAGGGGGAGGAAGAGTCGCGGGAGGGAGGGGGTGAGGAAGAGTCGCCGGGGTGGGCTTAGAGGCTACTACGACGGCGACGAACGGCGGCGGCGACGACGACGACGACGACGGCGGCGGTGGCGACGGCGACGGCGACGGCGACGGCAACGGCGGCGGCGGCGACGACGACGACGACGACGACGACGGCGGCGGTGGTGATGGCGACGGCGACGGCGAAGGCGACGGCGACGGCGACGGCGATGCCGATGGCGACGAAGACGTCGACGTCATCGGTTCGGAGATGGTTGGTCATTTCTGGTGGCGTTCGTCGCCAGGGCTGCACGTGGCTCGACACATGGCCAGGATGGACCCTTCGGCAGGGTTCTGGGATCAGATTTCGAGCGGATTTTGAAGCGTGGGCTAACACATTGGTACCAATACCCAATACCCTTCCCTTGTTTTCTCCTGTTTGGGCCTCTTGGGTGGCCCTGGTCGCCACGGCTGGATTCCCCTGGGGATCCTGGTCAGAGCGCAGGAGAAGGAGGTAGAGAAGAAGTCGTCAGAGGAAGGGGGGGGGGGGGGGCAGAACCGCGGGTGGATAGAAAGAGCGGGGAGGAAGAGTCGCAACAGAGGGGGAAGGGGGGGCAGGGGGAGGAGGAGAACGAGGAGGAGGAGGAGGAGGAGGAAGAGGAGGAGGAAGAAGAGAGGAGGGGCAGGAGAAGGAGGAACATTTTCGGCTCGAATCGGCTGTCCTGAAAAGTGCACGACGAGCGAGTAACAGCTGGGGGATCGACAGCCCAGGAGGAGAACAAATGGGGGAGGGGAGCAGGAGAGGGATGTGGAGGAGGAGGAGGAGGAGGAGGAGGAGGAGGAGGAGGTGGAGGGAGAAAAAGGATGAGGATGAGGAGGAGGAGGAGGAGGAGGAGGAGGAGGAGGAGGAGGAGGAGGAGGAGAAGGAAGAGGAAGAGAGGGAGAGAGGGAGGGAGTGAGGGAGGCAGGAGGAGGAGGAAGAGGAGGAGGAGGAGGAGGAGGAGCAGGAGGAGGCCTTCTGGGAACCCTTCAGTGCCGCGGGCCTTTCTGGGCGGGGGGGGGGGCCTCCAGGGCGAGGGGTATCGAGAAGGGGGCCGGGTAGGGAAGGGGCGCCAGGGGATCGAAAGGGATGGGAGGCCGCACGCGCCTCGGCCTCTCCCGGCGCAGGGCCCCCGCGCGCCAAGCCCAGGGACGTGCGCAGGCCGGCCGCGCTGAGGGCACCACGCACACCCCGGTCTCTCCTTGGCGCTGCGTCCTGTCCTGTCGTCCTCCTCCCGACGAGCTGAAAAGCTGATGCGCCCTGTCCTGTCGTCCTCCTCCCGACGAGCTGAAAGGCTAAAGGCGATAGGATCCAGCCCTCCTCCCCCCCGAGGCCGGTCGGGCCTGGGGGGGTGATCAAATGAAGGGCCAGGCGGTTGCAGGAGCATTCGTTCCTGGAGTCGCCGGCTGGGGGATATGTAATACTATGAAAGGTAGCGACAGCATTGAGAGAGAAGAAGGAGGAGAAAAACAATAACACATATCATAACCACAAGGAGGGCGAGTGCTCTTCCTCCTCCTCCTCCTCTTTTTTTGTCCATGGCCACAGGGGGGTGATCCGAAGGCTGGATATCAAGCTCAACTCCAGTTGACGATACTTGTCACAGAAGTCCGAAGTTTTGACCCAGGCCCCCATCACGTGGGCCTCACAATAGCGGTCAAGAGGACAACAGACATTGGCAAGCTCGGGGTCACCAGAGGGGGTGATAGGTCGTTTCCGCAATGTCATCCGCGTGGACCTCACCCCTCGCAACATGCTTTGCAAGAAAGGTACACAGCTCAGCTGGGTGCTGTTTGTCCGTGCTGGGTGCGCCAGTGGCCATGTTGATCCATTCCTTCCAGAACCCCGTGGCGTCCAGAGTAGCTGCACCGTCCGCGACGGGGCATCTTGAGTAATTCTTGACCGAGGGTTGGAAGATCTATTGTCAAGAGTTGGGTCGGCTTCGTCGATTGCGATTAGAAGGCGCATTGGTCGAGCCACAGGGTGTTGACTCGAAAGCCGAGGGAGTCGAGACGTCCATTGTGTCTAGTTTCCTTAAGACACCAAGAGCTCGGCACTTCGGCATTCAGGGGACAGGCTGGGTGTTCCACAACCCCTCATACGCCTGTGGCGAAGCAGATGCACGTAAAGAACAAAGCGGCTCGGTACAGATCGTTCGTTGTGATGATGTGTTGCCACTCTTTGGCAGTAGACAGTGGTCTGCCCCAGTTCTTCTGTAATGAGCGGGGAGGTCGAGACACTGGGCTCCCTGTGACTTTCACATATCGGGCAGCAGACCAAGTCTCGCACCTTGGAGCAACGATTGCTCCAATCGCGCGGCCCTGGTAAACCACAAGTGGAGCCCATTTCTAACATCAGCTGACCTCAGGTCGCCGTCCGAGGAATTGTTGACCATGTCGATCGAAAGCACTAAGATGGGGCCAGTCTGCAAGCCCAGTTTGTTTGAAACGCCTCGAAACAGTGTTGGAAATTGTCGGGCCTTCGTTGCCCGCTGAACAGATGCAGGGTGTTTTGGTTCTAACTTCCTAGGCGGCTTCATGCCCTGGACAGGGTCAAGGAGGAACCTCCTGGAAGGCAGGAGGGAGAGGAGGAGCAGGAGGCCGAACCTCCCCCCCGGCAGGCGGGAGCCTATCCTCAGCAGCAGGCCCGACAGGGACCTCGGCGTCCGTCGCTCTCATGCATTTCGCCTTGGGCGCCAACGCCAGGTTTCTGTCGTCCTCGCAGGGCTGCCCGTAGACACCATCTGGCAAAGGTTCTTCGGCCTGCCTCAGAACGTCGAGGCATCCTGTTCCCGCGTGTCTGCTGCCGCGGCCTGCCTGTTCCGAACATCTTTCTTGCGAGCGCTGCAGACGGAACCACTGGCACGTCTGCCAGCAGGGTCCCCGTGCTTCTTCGTTTGGTGGCCGCGCACCGCTCCCTGGGGGAAACATTTGTAGCCGCACAGATCGCAAACACAAGTCTGGACAGGCCTGGGTTCATCAGCTGTCTCGGGGGGCGGCATGGCGGCAGCTTTGCACTCGCTGTCCAATGGCCAGTCGGAGCTGGTCAGCATGCCACCGTTTGCAGGCCTGAGCGGTCCGATGGTAAGCTTTTTTCCACCCCACAGGATCACGTGTGGTCAAGGCTCTGTCATATTCAAAAGCATGAAACTCCTGTATCCACTCAAGGTATTTCTGAATGAGCTTACCCGAAGATTTT